AATATTCATCCCCAAACAAATTCCAAAGAATCACAAGAAAATATGAAAACGAAAGAAAACTTATCCATATCCAATATGCAAGCCCTAAAGTTAGTAAATAGAGTTATAAAAAAATATGTCAAATTAACAAGCATTATTCTCAAACAAAAAGTATGATATGGTTGGGAGTTTACAAGTTAAAAATGATATACACAGGTTAATTGTCTTAGACTTTAGATATCATCTTCAGGAAAGAAAATAGATACCGATTAGACTTGTAAGAAGGTTAAATGCAATGGTTATAAAGACCCATAGTAAGCCACCAAATACCAATTAATAACTGCTACAAAAACCATAATAAAACCGTAATAAACTAGAAATACAACAGCACTAAAATGCCAATACAACATCAGAGAAACCTCGAAACCAATTTCAGTGAAATCCCTAAACCAATTTCAGAGAAACCCCTAAACCCTAAACCAATTTCGAACAAACTCATAAATTCATAGAAACCCATAAACCCTAAACCAACTTCAGAGAAAACCCCTAAATTGTAAGAAAATGACGATGAACAGTACCTGTTGGAGGTGAATAATGGAGTTGAGCTTCGATGAACAAATTTGGCTAGGAGAGGAAGAGAGAAGAGAGAGTGAAAGCTGAGCGACAAGAGACGAGAGAGTGAAGAGAGAGTGAGAGCGAGAGCCAAGAGAGATCTGAGAGAGAACTTTAGCAAAAGTGATATGTGTGCAATAAGTGGACAATAAATATATATTTATAGGTGATATAGTTCCAAAAATTTTGGAAAGATGTTGTATTTTCAGTTAAAATTATAAAAAGGGTGGCATTTAGAGCTATTTCCCAAAAAAAATTAGCAACAAAACATGGATATTTAATAATTAAAAGAATACATGTTTAAATCATTTCAACATAAACTTTAAAAAGTAATAACATACTTTAAGAACAGGACATAGTTGATATAAACTTCAAAGAATAAAATAAACACAATGCTTTTGGTTTCAAGTAGAACTGCTTTGAAATTATTTCATAAGCTGGTTTGTTCCAAACAAGCTTCTTATGATCGAGCAACTCACAAGGTTAAATTTACAAATATCTAACCTCAGCTTGACTTGTTTCTATTATGCACCAAGTTTAAACGATCCAAATCCAGGCCAAGATTGAGCTCGAGTTGTATCGAATTAATTTACAACCCTAGATTTTGCCAATGAGACGGCAGGATGCTAATGGTAGTTTAAGCCTTTTGTGTGTGTTCATCCGTTTTGATGTAGTTCCTGTGATGGTAGGGTAAAATTCCCCATTGTATTGAAAACCATTGGCGGTCAACAAGTCAACTTTCTTTGGTGTGCGAGTGCGCCACTATTAGCAGCTAAAAACTCTAACAGATTTATAAAAAATTTAATAACTTGCGCCCCAAGCTATGGACTTTGATCAAGTGATTGTGAATTTGGGTGAAAAATATCTCCCAAGTAAGTTCTTTTCTTACCTCAAACAGGCGAGAACTTTACAATTTCCCACAGTAAAAACTAGTAATTCTAGCCAAAAATGAATGTTGCAAGTGATCCGGACTTAATTCAAAGAAAATTATTTATTTCACAATTTAAACAAAAGAGAACTGCCAAGTTTGGAATGACATAAGAACATTGGACTTCTATTTCTGCTTGGATTGTTGCCTGTGATTTAGGCTAAACTGGATATATCTGTGCTGGAATTGCACATCAGCACCTTCAACTGGTAGAGTTTAGCTGGAAATCGATACTAATGTTGAGATTGGCAGAGCTTTAATCTATTTTAGCCATGGAGAGGCTTGCAAATGGGCATAATTGAAATCTCTTCAGTCTGGGCTGGATTCGAAGTGGCTGGATTGACGATTGCTGACCTGGAACTGCACTTCGGTACCTGCTCTGCTTAACTGTGGATCACCTGAGAGCTATTCTGGTGATTCTGAGACATTAAGGTTTCCTTGAAAATTTGTTGAGGTTTTCATATTATGAAAAACTCAAACTCACTTGATTCACCTAGCTTGAACCAAATTTGTAACGAGAGAATTCTCGTTTCCCTTGTGAGCTGCTTCTTTGAGCTTAATTGTAGTCGGAAGTATGAGTTCTACCTGTTTTGTCAGAGGCTGGATGACTTTCGCAAAAACAAAGAGCTTGGTTTTCTTTGAGTCTAAAAGCTTTGGGATCGAATGATCTTGTTTGAGTTTGTCAGAATGACTGGGAGTTTTTATTTTTTATTGAATTTTTGCTGTCCTCAATCCTGTTCACATCATCCTATATTTATAGGAGCTCTGCATGAGTGACTATTCCCTAAAATCTAAAGGACATATTGTTGAGATCTGACAAGAAAGGCCCCATCAAGAGTCAGCTTTCAAGATAATCAATTTTGACTTTTTAACAACCCACTCTCTTATTTCTTGTTTATCTTCTTGTAAACCCAGCTTTGTACTAACGAGAAATCCTCACGAGTATGGGAAGAAAACTTGGCCCTCTTTTCTGGCGTTAAATGGTTATGGGGAGTGGTTTTTGATTTTGCCTTTCTACCAACTCCCCTTCAGGTCCTCTGCCCCCTTTCTGTGAATGTCTTGTCATTGGGGTCACGTGGGCACTGTGGAGAGAAAAATCCACCCTACTATCTGTTGATTTGATCTCCGAATTTGTGATCAACGGTGATGATCAAACATTTGAGCCTTTTGGAAAAAATTGGAAACTAGGTATCAATTTAAACCAACTAAAACTGGCTTTTCTAGATTAAATCACCATTAACGGCAATTAATCTTTAACCTGTAAGATTATATTTTGCAATTGGTTCGCAATGGTCTGGGTATCTAAAACATTCTGTGCTGACTTCTAATTTTGGTAAAACAAAGCCCAAGCTACTGTTGTTGACATGGGGCAATAGTCAAATGGGCTGGCACATGGAATTTAGGCCCAAATAGTATAGAAATCCCAATATGACCAAAATAGGAATAAAATTACTAAGGAATTCCTGCCAACCAAGCAGGGAATAGTAAAATGCCCCTAACATTTTAACATTAAAATATGTTGGGAAGCAATCCAAGTTGATCCAATTCATCGTTGCTCATGTGAGTAAACCAAATTGATCAAACAAAAAAATCAGGTTTATTCCGACAAAGGCTACCACTGACTAGGAATTCAATTTGAATTATTTTGAAACAGAATTCTACAACTCTTATATGAAAAAAGCGAACTCCAAACTTGAATACCGGCTGCTAAAACTGGCTCAACTGATGCCACCCTGCGATAATGTTACTCAAGTACATCATCTCTGGTTCAACTCAAATGGAAAAATAAAGAGATAATATATCTTGCCGGCAAGAATGATGAAACAACATCGGTGCTGCAATTTACTCCCCAACAGTCAATCCAAACCCAAATTTGTAGTCTTTCTTTCTGTGATCAATCTGCAAAGCATATATTTTAGTACTTGTCAAGAAAGAAATGGCAAAGCAGGGTGCTTAACGAGAAGCGAATTGTCTAAATCAACTACAAACCAAAATATCCACCAAGCTAAAGCAAGCAATGAAGCTGCTAATGCATAATCAATAATCAGCTGGTATTTTTGGAATCGTCAACATAACCATTGGATCATGGCATTGTCATCTAGGCAAGGAGAAATTCTTGTCAGAGGCAGCCGCATGGGGCAGCCCTCTCACGGTGGAGAAAAACTTGCCTTCAAGGGTTCATACAATTTTTCTACTGAGTGTGGTTGGACCCACATGTAGGTCCCACTCAACTGTGAGAAGGCTTCCTTATGTGGCTGCCTCACCTAAGAATCACCCCTAAGCAAGCTAAAGTAAACAAAGCATGTTTGCCTTAATTCAGAAGAGGAAGAAGAGAAAACAAAACATTGACAGATACCTCTGCAGAAAGGACAAAATTAAGACCCATATTTAGTCGCTCTTCCAAAAATGCAGCCACGGTGCCATTGGAATCAATCTTTCCTCTAAGACGGCACTGCAACAAAGATCATAGTGGTCAAGGAGAATGATCACAACTTAAAATTCATACCTTATTGAACAACTCATAACAGGTAACCACGCAATCCAGCTTAGAGTTGTCCACAACAAAGGGCACAAACAAAATTCACAACCGGCTTTTATATCGCCACAATAAAAAACCAAGAAAGAATCCCATATCAATTATGATGGCAGAAATGTTTTTCGCCAGCAGCAGCAATTGTGGAGATGACAAATGCAAGAACGACCATGTCAATTAGACAAACTAAGTCTCATCAGGAAGACACTGATACTAATATTTAGGTGTGTATAAATACATGCATGCACTGCACATGTACGTAAGCATCTTATGTTGCCAGCTGAATCTGGCTAAGAAAATTTTCCATGTGGAATCATATCAATGTCAGCATAACATTAACAGGCCGCAAAGTCCAGTGGTATTACTAGCACACCTGATTATAGTAAACTGAAAAATCATGTTTCATGAGGGCATTCACCTACTAGGTGGTAACATTGTCCAACAGCAATCAGATACCACTGATTGTGCAACCTTGCCATGGACCTAGGCCTATGGTAAGATAACAATGTATGAAGGAGAACATAAAGAATATCTATGTATTGCAATGAAGTGAGAATTGTTGATTTATACATCTCTCACTATCATCATTATCGCGATCATCATCTCAACATGAAATATTCCAGAGATAGGGTTAAGCATGCAAGATATAATTACACCAATATCATGAATATTTGAACATTCACAATATAAAACCTACCTGTCGAAGAATGTAATCATAACCAAAACTAGCTGTGACGTCTCGTGACATGTAGTTGTACATGAAATCCGATGCTAGAGAAACCTATAAGGAAGCAACACTGTAAGAAAGAGTATTCGAAGAAACCACGAAAAAGACAAACTGCTGCAAGGTACTTCAACAATATAAAATTTAAAACCTGAATCAATATTCAACCACAGATGAACTTTGCTCACCTTCTCAGAAACTTTTTGTACATAGCTCAGAGCAACCATTCCAGTGCTAGCGACTTGCCCTGTGGCAACCTGGGGTGCAAAAACAAGTTGAATTAGGGTATGAATCACATGATAGTTACGAGTCAAAATTCTTGCCAATACAATCAGCAAGGAAACTTCAGGGTACATATAAGAAAATCAAGTAGAAACATGCATCATTAAATTAGTGGAGTATGTTTTAGAGCTGCCCAAGAATCTACCAGGCCACCCAGCTTCACAGGCCTAAACTAGTGCTTTCATTAATGAATAATTTTATGATTAGCTTTCGCAGTGCTCACTAATATATTGCTGATCCTTTCTAATTAATAAATTGTCATGGTCCAGTAGGAACCTAACTCAGCGATCGAAATAAGAAGTATCCAACTCAGCCACTGAATCATCAAGTGTAGTAAGGTGCAAATGAGCTGAACAGTATCATGCTATCACTCAGTCGTTAACCTAGCAAGCAATCAGATTTTATTACAGGTTTCCTTATTGACTCCAGTATGAGTTTTCATTCACCACGCCTTTTAGGAAGGTCAAATACATATATAAAAGTGTTCATGACTAATACTTACATCATGGACCCAGGCTTATTTTTCCTTATAATTGTGACATTCATTTAAAAGACAAAAAAAAAATTAAACCAAAGCGGGGGTATTTTGAAACAGAAACAAGAATGATCAAGCATACAGTTAATTCTTGATAGACATTTTAGATATATAAATCTTTGATGCCAGAATACAACAAATTAATAAACTTATTTTCATAGTAGAATTAATAGTACAACAAAAGAAGGAAACAATGAAAAGATTCAGGATGTTATAACTCAAGGCTTCAAGAATTATACCATCTTGTCAGTGTTGTATCGAGCAGCATAGCCAATACCAGACTTCCGATGCTGACCAGCCCAAAATACTTCACCACCCAAAGACAGATGGGGAGTCACGCTCTGAAAATCAATAAGCATTTCAAAGATTGGTAAAACACAATAATCTTTAGGTAAACAAATCAAAATTTCTACTCTCTAACTTCCACAGGGAGAGAAGCATGAGTGCCACTGCAGTAAACAAAACACACTTAACACTAAGAATTAATTTGCAAAAGTAATGAATGCCTTATCTTCATGTCCAATGGTAAGAAGAAAATAAATAAATTACATATTATGTTGGAACAATTAATTATAGAGATACTGTGCTACTGAAGTAAAGATTTGGCATCATTTTTAAGTCCAAAATAAATTTGTGTGGGATCAACAAACGATAGATGTAAATTTTGTAACAAACGAGTAAATAGAACCTTGTAGGTCAAATGGCATCCCTCGCCTCATACGTACTTGACACTGAGAAGGCTTATGGCCATGTGAATTGAAAAATTTATTCTCTACCTTGTGCTTCCCTTTCCTCAAAAACATGCATGATTAGGAAGTCTAACATGTGATGGCTTTCCTCACTTTGATTATTTAAAGGTTTTGGTCTTCATTCCTTACTTCTTCTTTTTTGTGTTCAGTAGGTGATACCAGTGACTTATTTCTTATGGTCCTGAAGGGGTTATATAGTCAAAAAGGAGTTTCATGAATGTTGGTGAACAACCCTCCTAGTATATTGTGGTGTATATATATCTAACTAGGGTCCTCCAGCAGCTTGCCCACTCAAATAAATGACAGAAAAAGAAAAAGACCTCAACTCTGACGATACAGACACCCTGAAGGAGGCCAAGAAATGAACCCTCTCACACAAAGGAAACATTGTAGAATTCATTTTGTGCTAATTAATATACTTCAGTAGATTAGCCAGAAAAATCAGTATTCTCATGAAAAGAAGCATTTCTTTTATCATAAATTACCAACAAGGTTAAGTACAAAATAGGTCATCTAATATTTTACCTGAATGTAGTTTGCTCCAAATAATGCACCATTGCCTAGCTGAAATTGTGACCTGTAATCTTTGCCCTGTACAGAAGAAGTTTAATGTTGAGAAAAAAACAACAGAAAATTATCAGAAAGTTAATAACAAAGAAGTTCTCGGCTCAAAATATCCCAAATCAAAATACACAACAAAAAAATAATTAACTATGTTATTTTGGAAACATATAGAAGAGCATTTACTCGATTATCTGTTTTAAAAATGTTTTTAAATAGAAAGGACCACTTCCTTTGGGTGGCAACCTGTGTGCATTGTCTTTTTGGGATTCGGTTGGTGAAAAACTGAGGAAAAGTATAGATGGGAGGAGGAAAGGTAGTCTAAATCTTTTCTTCTTTATCTCTGGCAGTCATTCTTCAAAGCAGATCCTTAAAATTCTAGGTTTTTTATTAAGAAACAAACTTTATTAGAACTTCTGAAAAGTATAATACTGTGGACAAGGAGTCCACATTGAAATCAAACCACCACAGACCGGCTTTACAACCAGAAACTTGTATATTCTAAGTAAAACTAGATTAAGAAGCAATTGACACACACCTTCCTTCCGTATAGAAGAATAGTAGGAAAAAGACATCCCCTAAATTCCACTGAAACAGATGACCAAAGCAAATCTGAAAACCTAACTCTGTCTTCTAGTACTTACACCCGAACCCCTTTATACTCCTAGACTCCTATTCCTCTTCAGCCAAATGACCCCAACCACTGCCAGCACATTGAATTCTCAAAGGGCTGTAGCCTTTTCCCGCCACCAAGAGCCTTATGTTTTTCACTTAACAGAGGATAGAACCCGGCTCCGCCAACCTCCTCGAATAAATCTTTCCATAAATCTTAGAGATACTGGACAGTGAACGGATAAATCATCAGCACTCTTCCTCCTAATATTACAAAACGCTGTCTTCTTTGAATCAAGTTGCACATATCAGCCAGGCAAGGTACACAGTCCAGACCTCCTTGAATAAATCTTTCCATAATCTTAGAGATACTGGACAGTGAACAGATAAATCATCAGCACTCTTCCTCCTGCTTATACTATTTTGACTGTCTTCTTTGAATCAAGTTGCACATATCAGCCTTACCCTGAGACACAGTCCAGGCAAGGATGCTGAAGATTTTCAGGTCCGATCTCTTGAATCTGCTCTAGCATACGACAATCTAACCCCTTCCAAAATAACCAGCAAAGAAGATAATTCCCCAACCTCCACCTCATTTAAGTACCTCATAAAAACAAAAATCGCAATTCACCGGAAAAGACATGTAAAATGCAAGCGAGTTAATTGTTTCATTATGGTACCAGGGCAGCATTAACACCTATGGAGATAAGCTTCTAAAAGAAACATCGCCCAACCAAATATTTCCCAAATCTCACCCACCACCTACCAGACAGCAACAAAGTAAAAACTGATCCAAACCAATTAACCCATCATCCAACAATTTCTAAAACCAACCAACTAGCCATCCTTATTCCTGGTTATTGTTCAATAGTAAAACGGACATTCATGTAATTAAATTGAAAATGGCAAGGTTAACTTTGTCAATCTCAAAAAGAATTTGATTAAAGAGAATAACAGCTTCCAGCATAAGGTGTGTTTCAGCTTTTTGGAGAGGTTCTCCAGAAGCAGTTATTAGCTTTAATTTAATACAATATCTGGTTTCCCATTAAAAAAAGGAACCTGTTTTTAGCTTTTGCGTGAACTGACTTTAAAAACAAAGAAAATTCTTTTTACCATGAAAAAACACTTTTTCAGTGCCATTAAGTTGTGCCAAACGGGTACAAGTTAACATAGCTCAATACAAGTTTTTTTTCTTGATAACTGCCAGGTACACATTTTGTTTCAGAAAGAAGTTTAGCCTTCTTTGTAGCAACACCATTATACAAGGACACAACAACAAAAAATATACATAAAATAAAAGATATTCTAAAGTCAGAACACCATACCTTGTAATCAAAATTGACCATGCCATGTGACATGTGTGGCTCATTAGTAAGCTGGAAAGAAACACAGAGAAGTTAACCAACAAGCTTAGATATTGCAGAGCATATTTTCATTACAAACCATGCAAATAAAAAAAGGGGATAAAGTTCTTCAACAGTCTTGGAAATCACCTGAGAATTAGCCTTCAAAGTAAGATTCTCAGATAAATCACACTTTACTCTTGCGTTAAGCCTCCCATCAGTCATTATTCTCCCAAAAAGCATCAACTGCATGACACCCAATTTTTAAATGGCAGTTTAAATTCAGCCTGTCATAGAAAAATATGCAAATGACCAATACCTTTGGATCTATAAAATTGGCACCAAACTCATAGTGAGCAGTAGGAATTTTAATAGTTTCCGGAGATTGTGAAGGAACCTCCATAGGTCCCATGAACACGCTGATTTTTGGTCAAAAAAGAATAGTTATGATTCAGATCAGTATCTAAATAATAAAGAGAATGATGACACACATGCACAGGAAGTCTGATCACACCTGTGACTGAGTGAGAATCTCTGGTTGAGTCCTTTGGTAAAATCGAAGCGCATCCCCTCAAAAAGTTCTGGCTTTAAAGACACTGCACCACATACAAATAATTTCTTACTTCTTAGACTAGAGCACTTCTTTCACATTGCAAGTAACCCAAAAATAAACCACATACAAATAATTTCTTACTTCTTAGACTAGAGAATTTCTTTCACATTGCAAGTAACCCAAAAATAAAAAGTCAATTGACAGTACAAGACCAGACACAAAAGCGATAGTTACAAGACCAAATATACTCCTTTTTCACTGTAAATTCATTCTTCAAATATGTAAAATTGAAACAGAAACAGAAAAGATAAATCACATAAAAAGTTTTCACCAGTTATATGTAAAAATCCCAGAAGAGCAAATGTGCAAATCTTAATAAGAAGAAACACAAAACTCCATAATTTTCACATTAAAGAACAAAGCACTGTAACTACAAAGAGAGCTTCAAATTATTTAAGAGGGGCAAAAGGGTAGGAGAGAGACTGACTGAGAGCTTCACGATGGATCTCCTCGTAGGGGATAGGACAAGGAAGATTAAAGTAATCAACTTTCTCATCCTCTTTCGGCTTCTGGGTAGTATCAGCCGCAGTGGTTGGAGGAGGAGGAGGAACAAGGGCCGCCATTCTTATTGTTCTTTATGCTCTTAGCTTCTGTTGACAGAAAAACCCCGACAGCTTTTTCTGTAGAATAAAAGGACAACAATGGCTCTCGATGATTCAGATCAAATCAGAGAGAGAGAGAAAGAGGAGCCTGAACAGTATCAAATTGCAAAACCTCCGAAGTTCCGAAAAGTCTAAAACCCTAGTGAGAAGAGGTGGCTGTTTGGCTTAAGGAATCAAATGGGCCGTTAGTGGCTGCTCTTTTTGGGTAAAAAATAAAAATTCAACGAAAAAATAATGTGTTTTGACTGCTACTGTAAATTTGGCAAAAAGTTAACTAACTCTTTATTTAATAGTATTTTTCTTCCTAGTATTTTTTTTCTTTATCTATCCATATAGGGTTTTTCGCAGCAATGATCCCTCAACTATACCCGTTTTTTGCATTTGGGTCACTGAACTCAATTATTAGTTGCAGAGATCACTCAATTGTGTGTTTCGTTGCACCAGTAGTCCTTCCGTCAAACTCTGTTAAATTTTCTATCAAAAGTGAGGGTAAGTTTGGAAATTCATCCACAACCCTCCCTCTTCTCCACAACCCTCCCCTTCCTCCACAACCCTCTCTCTCTCTCTCTCTCTCTCTCTCTCTAAGCGAACTCGAACAGCCACTATAGCAGTATTTTTCATCATGCCTAAATGGTACCAGTAAGGTCCTAAAGAACTGTTGAACCATCCCATTCAAGCAAGCCCCGAATCCGCCCCGACTTGACCGATCATGTTACCGATATTGGGAATCACGAAAACCCCATTAATCCCAGAGTTCTTGGTCACCAACCCAACAAAGTCTCTCTTGCCGAAACTCTGGTTTAGGAACTCAAGATCGAAGAGCTTCAACGTGTTAGGGTTAGGCCAAGCAAATGACGGCATACTGATGTGGGACTGAATCAAACTCGTGAAGCCCTACTCGAGGTGGTCCGCTAAGTCCTGGCCATGGCGCTGAACCTCTTCCCAAGCTTCGAAGGACCTCTCCACAGACAATTCAACACAAGTTGAAAGCTTTTTGTGTTGTTCCTCTGAAACAGTCACAAGTTCTTCATGGCCCAGAAACAGTGATATTAGGATTTTGATTTGAGCTTCTAATAATGGAAAACCCGAGCTTTCTTCAATTTAATAACAATTTCAAGCTTGAAATTTGAGCTTTCGAGCTTAGATTTTTCAATCTTAAATCGTAAAATAAAAATCTCAACCTGTTTCAGATTTATGGATGTTTATGGTTGATGGTTTACAGTGAGTGATGGGTTGGGGTGGGAGGAAGGATTGGGTGGTGAGTTTGGTACAATGGAGGAGAAGCAATTGAGTTGTCTTTCTCTTTTCTTTTTTCTGCCCAAATTTTGGTACAAGGGAGGAGAACCAAGGATTGAATTGTGACAATGGAGGGTTGTGGATGAATTTCCAAATTTACCCTAAGTTTTGACAGAAAATTTAACAGAGTTTGACGGAAGGACTAATGGTGCAACACAATAGCCAATTGAGTGACCTCTGCAGCTAATGATTGAATTCAGTGACCCAAATGCAACTACGGGTATAGTTGAGAGACCATTGCTGCGAAAAACTCATCTATATATATAAAACAAAAGGCAGAGAATTGTGAAACATTCAAAATACCAGAAAATGCCCTTGGTGAATTCAAACATTAAGAATTAAAATTATTAATTAAATGAGGATAATATGGTAAATTCACATTTTTTTCATATTAAAAAAATTAAAATTGAAAACAAAATCAGATACTACCTATATTATCTTTTCTTAATAAACGTTGAAAGAAACTTTAAACTTCGAATCAATCTTTTCTCATATATTTTTAAAAGGCTCACATTTTGACGAAAAGAGCATCTTCATTGTAGCAATTTATTTTTAGCCCAATTTCTGTCCAAAAAAAAACTCCAATGTATAATTTCATTGTCAAAATTAGCACAAGAAATAGCATTGGATAGCCATGATTAGAGTCTCATGAGATCCCAAGTCCCAAGAACACAACACAGTTGTTGCTACTAAGATTTTGTTTACCCATATAATAAGAACCCACAACATGTTGTGTTTTTTTTTTTTTTTTTTTTTTTTTTTGGTGTGCTACTTTTTTTAGGTTTTAACTCATAACTAAAGTCAACCTTGTATCTTGGGCGGTACTATATACAATTTAAAGCTAAGAACATATCCATCGATAGTAGCAAATCAAACTCTTCAAATTGAAGTTTGTTAACCTGCGTGGCAATTTGAAAAAACTTTGTTTACTACTTTAATATTTTGTGTCCCAACAAACTCTTCAATTCAATTAAATGCAATGTTATGGGAAAAAAAAAATGAAAACATGTAAAAAATGTCTATGTATTTATTGTTTGAAAAGAAAAAAAAATGCAAGTTTTTAACATTTTCAAGATAGGTTTTATTTTTCCAAAGTAAAATTAAATGTTTTGAAGAGCCAAGGTCAACTTACTAGTCCTAAATAGAGAGAAAAATGTTGCATCTTTGATGATTGAGTTTAAAGGGCTATTTGAGAGGGTTTTGATGATGTGGCTCATCTATTTTAGAATTCCAAAGCTATTAAAGAGGCTATTGGAGATGCCCTAAGAGCACTTCCACCCACAAGGGCTAAGTCTAAGGCAAGGGCAAGCAAGGGCTGCCACTATTCATGTGAATAGTATCAGCCTTTGCATTTGTGGTTTCACCCATGAGGGCAAAGTCTAAGGCAATTACTATTCACTTAAATTTATTTTTTATTTTTTATACTTAAACCATTGATTTTGATAAGTTTTTTGGAAAAGATTTTCAATTCCCAAGTCTTAATATTTATCGTAAAATCCTTACATAAAAATCAAGATAACATTTTCAGATAAAATTTTGAAATTAAATTGGTGTGGAAAGTGAATAATATTGGTAGTATGTATAGAAAAAATTTCTAGAATTTTTTGATATTTTTTAAAAAAAAATTTGATATTTTTTTCAATTTTTTTAGCCAAAAATTGGACAAGCGTTGGATTGTGCAAGATTTTTTGATCGAAGGCTCCAGGAGAAGCCACATGGCTTGTAACCATTGGGCAATGTGGGCTGGTAGGTCCAATAGTAAAAAAAAAGTTTGAAAATTAGCTGCTGATGTCATGTTGACGTCAGCAGCCCGAGGGCAACAACCTAGGCAAAACTTGCCCTTGGGCCTGCCCGAGTTGGTGGGACCCAGCTGAAACCCAGTCTTCTTCCCTCGCGCTGGAGCATACTTGGGCTCACCAGGGGGGCCTTTCCCCCAGTTTGGGTTGCGCGCTGGACGTGCTCTAAGCTTTTGATTTTTGTGGATGATATGATGGTCTTCTTACTTTTGACCCTTGTAGTTTGGCACTTCAAACACTTTTGACCTTATAGTTTCAATTTCGTCAATTTTGTCATTGTAGTTTCGTATTATAGCAATTCAAGGAAAAGTTAGTATTCATATCAATTTCTTTGACTGTGCAAAGGGCAATTTCATCAATCCAAAACCAGCTCATTTGAAACTCTCCCCATTTCATATTAGGGCTCAAAATTCAACCACTATTCCCAATTTTTAAAGAACCCTAAACTCAAATGACTAGTTTTTGCCATGTGGAATTGCTCACTGATCTTGCCCCTTCTTGCATTATTCAAGGCTCATTGGACCAAAAGACCTCTTGCTAGGAAGTTCAGTGCCCACACATATATGGCGCTTCACCTTTCCCTCCCTAAGCGGTGTGAGAACGGTTTTATTCTTAGGTTCAAGCATATCCTATCTTACCCAAAAGGCCTCTTACCAGGAGGACAAGTGCCTACACATATATGACACTTCACATTTCCCTCTCCGAGCGATGTGGGATAATTACTCACTAGTATTGCCCCTTATTGTCTTGCATCCTTCAGGGCTCACAGTTCTTACACTACTAGAGTATATCACATTTTTCAAAGCACCAAAAATGTGTCAATTTCCTAAACTTGTGTGAGATATTCAATAATGCCATGATTGTTCGTGCAAATTTTCTCCCCATGAATATTTGGAGAAGATCCTTGTGTCTCTTGAATGAATTCCTCCAAGAACCCTACAAAACAAATAAGGTCAATCGGAGAACACTGGTGTGGTGTTGGCCAATGGCCCTCGAATGCTTAAGTCAGAATACGGTCTCAAGGAAATACAAATATTTCTAAAAAGAAATTAGTGTTTTCTCTTAGGGAAGAGAGTGGGTGGCATGAGAGAGAGAGAGAGTGGCATGTAGCCTAGGTTTTTTTTTAAGGTTTGGAAGAAGTTACCTCCATGTGATATGATGTTATCTTTATATAGCCTCTTGATCTTATGTCATTTTTTGTCTGATTTATGGGAGAATAATTCCTTTTTTAAGGGAATTATTCTTTTCCATAAATAATGAGATTGGGTAAATCAAGGAGATTTAGTGGAAATCGAATCCTTGATTTATGGAGATATCCCTATCTTAAATATTGATAATTGGCCAATTAAATGGGGATTTAATTGGTACAATTATTTGACCTAAGGAACATTCCCATATCCACGTGGCGTCTCCTGAATAGTTGTCGAAAATCCATGTTCCCACAAATGCCCCCAGCTTCTACATGTTGCGTGTAGAGCATGTAGGAGATGTGAAATACTTGTCGGGTTTTTTAATTCCCAATTGTAGTTTGGCTCCTTCTGAAGGTTAAACTTGATTTCTTCTTGAAGTTGGGCTCTTGGTCAAGAAAGGCTTTTAGGATCCTTCTTGAAAGCCAAGAATTCCAAGTTAGTTAATTTAAAAAAAAAAAAAAAAAAAAAAAAAAAAAAAAAAAAAAACCTTATTGTTTTGTACTTGTTATTTTTTCTTCTTTTAATTCCCAATTGCAGTTTGGCTCCTTGTCAAGTGGGCAGTTCCTAGAGAGTCACGAGCTCATAAGTCCTTGGCTTTGTTGATTTCTAAAGTTTCATTGTTGCGTCTCCTTTGCATGGCTATAGCAATTGTTTTGGTAAGTTGGCAAGCATATGTCATAGGTCAATATCATTCTCACTTGCACCCTCATCGATGAGTGAAGGTGGTGGATTAAGCTCCCTAGCCCCTGGTAGCGAGTCCTCGGTCTACCATGTCTAGAAGGCATGATACTAATAAGAATAAAACATGAAGTTATTAGTCTCAAGAATGCACACGAAGCGCGAAGTCCGAAGTCCGAAGGAAATTGAACCAAATGCTCCGATACCAAGTTGACATGACCCACCCCGAATTCCCCCTTGGAATTCATGACGGACCTTGTTCCTGACCAGTGTCTAACCGATGATAGGCTCACTTACTAAAATAACCTTTTCTTCACCATTTAAAAGAAAATTGACTGAGACTTCTATCGAAATTTCGGCAGTCTCTCTTGTAAAACGGTCATTTCCCAAAATTTCCACCTATCAAACAACACAAATAATAACCCAATTGGCAGCACACACAATACTAAAGCACACAGTTCACAAAATAGGCATCCAACCTCAAATTCATTCTACATGGGCATATCAAAGCAACCTAAGAAATTCTTTAGTTTACACAACCAAAGTAGTTTCTAAAGGAAATAAATAACATAATATCTTACAATGACGTCAGATGCACTTGAAAGGTAGCTTGGCTTGGATTCATGAGTCATGTCAAGCTACGGCCTGGGGGGCGCAAAACGTAAATTGTGAATGGACAAATTAATCGAAAGTACTAACCCCATCATTTATGAAAGCGATGTAAAACCATGCAATGAAATCCTTTGTTATAGTATACTTGAATTTGAAATCATTGTAATCCCATAAACCCGATATAGCATAGAATATAATAATCAAACTGAACCTTTTTCCTATAACCATACCCTTTTCGAGGCACATGCTTGTAAAAACACAATATGCAAAGAAAATTCCAAATATATATATAAGTATAAATAAATATATATATATATAAGTACTCATTATAACATCAATAAGTACCGAGAGAAACAATCCAATAAGGAGACTGTTTTGACTAGACCACAGGGTAGCAACGCAGTATCATGTGACTAGGGACAAGCAGTCCAACGGAGGGACTATTGCTCCACAACACACACGTCGGAATCTTGCATCTCACATGCTGCCAAATCAAATCTTACGCCTACAAACTGCCCCGCTAAGGGCCTGCGGCACACCTCATCAAGGGTGCCCATGTCTCATCAAACACACTAGAATTCTACATTGCACGTGTGGGTAACATCCATATTGAACCAAGGGAGGTACATATCACGGTGTAATCCACAAATCAATACTCAATATCCATACTTCATAATCAAAACCAAAATCCATAGTCCAATATTCACAAGATTGTCTTTGTTTACTGGCAGTTGGTTAGGACTTGGGAAATTGTTGTCACTTGCTTAATCTTCCTATTCTTCTCCTTGTTGGCCAGCCTAGACTTCTCAAAGTGGTCTACGATGACGTTGATCCTTATGACCTTTTGTCGAGGTTTCTCGGTAGCATCTCAATCTTGATATGCTGAATAACTTTTTTGGCCACGAATTCAATGTAATGGCCTTTTTTGATTAACTCATCAAGATGATTTTTCCAGGCTTTGCAGTCACTGGTGTAGTATTAATGCGTTATGTGGAAGGCACAGTACTTAGAGATGTCTCTTGTGGCATGATTAGATTTCAATGGTAGTGGCCTCCTCTGCCATGGCTTGTCCTTCACCTCGTGTAGAATTTGATTGATTGGAATCATAAATTCTATGTAAGTCTTACCAGTTGAGGAGTTGTCTTTGGTAGGGCCCGATTTGCGCTTTCTTCCGTTGTTTTCGTTTTATGATTCGACATTCTTCAGTCCTGCTTCATTTTGTGGCTAGTCAGCTTACTTGCCTGGTTCTTTCGCAGTGCTCCAATCATCATCCCAAAGCGCATAGCGCTCTACCACTACGAAGACATCGATCAGAGTCTGACTTGGAGCTATGGTCAGCTCGCGATACAACTTGTGTTCTGTAGGTAAGCCCTTCTTAAAAGTGAAGGATGCGATTTAGTTGTCACATCCCATTATGTTGGATTTCTTTGCCCTGAATCTTTTGATGAAGTCTAGGAGAGATTCATCATGTTCCTTTTTTATGTTGAAAAGGTGATCAAACTGCTTCTTGATCACTCGGTATGAAGTGTATTCCTTCGTGAAGATCGGAGCCAACTCTTGAAGTTGTTGATCGACTTCAACGCTGGAGTGTGGAGCAAATCCTAAGATGCTCCTTGCAAGGTCATGGCGAACACCTTGCACATCGATGCGTCATCACCCTTGTAGAGTATCATGATACTCCTAAAATGCTTTAGATGGCTTTCGGGATTAGAATTCCCTTTGAACGGTGTGAGGGAAGGTGTCGTGAACCGCCTTGGTGGAGTTGCTTGCTCAATCTTGTTAGTGAACAATGAGGTGTTTACCTTGTCTACTTCTAAGTCTCCTCCAACCTTTAGGTTCCGAAGTCACTCGTTCACCAACCTCTCGATATCCTCCAATAGCAAAGGTTACAGTTTGCGTTGAGGATGTCCTTGGCACCAACATCGCTAGTTAACCTCCACTTTGCCAAAGGGGTTGTTCTCGACGGCTGTCCTACCAGTGCGTCATGTTAGTGGGATGAGCTTGTGATTGGAGTCACATGGCGCATGAATTAGAATATGCCCTTTTGGTATAATCCAATGAGTGTTTTCCTTCACATTCTCGACGATGAGGGCTTTGGTGTTGATTTCCTTGCGAGCCTAACCTTGAGTGGATGCTTATAGGGCCGGCTGCCATCTCTTGGAAAAATTAATATCATGGTTGTTACTCCCACATTTAAAATTATTTCAAAAAACTGATCAAATTCATTCCATTGAAAGGATTACAACAATACAACTCAATCTTGCATAAAGAAAAAGACAATTGAATCAACTATATATATATATATATATATAAAGGGATTTACAGTGTAACGAATTAAAAAATTGGTTCACAGGCAAGAAACCAAAAGAATCTGGTTAAAATAAAAGACCTTACTCGTTATATGTATGCACTAAGAATCTTGGCTAATACATGAATTGGAGGAGCCCGTTTGTCACTTTCTAGAGGTGCTTGCACCATGTCCACATTGCTAACTTCTAGTTTTGTCGTGTTAACCTTAACAAGTGCAAAGCGAAGTTGGGATTTACCACTGATTGACCAGAGCTGCACTCTGTCATTGAACTTCTGTAGTGTATTTACTTTATACTTGAGAAAATGTGTATGTTTGTCCACTTTGGGGAGCTTATTTGCCCATTTTGGCTACTACTTCTAGTGCTTGCACTAGGTCCACTTTGTTGAGCTTCCATTTTTGTGGTGCTAGCTTTAACAAGTGCAAAGGCAAGCTTCTTGGACTCATCATGGAATGACTATAGTTGCATTGTGTCGTCAGTCTTCAGTTTTTTTGTCCTGGCAATTTCCTTTCAACCTAAAACCAAATTGTACACAATATTGTCTCCCATGGTCCATTTCTTGAGGCGTAAAGTGTACACCTAAAAAGATGGATCCAATACTTTAACAGGGATACCAATAAGCCACTTTTGGTTATGACCATGGTCTAAAATATCGATAATATTGACGAAATATCGAGGATATTATCGTTTTCTTTTCGAATCACAGATATTTCGAAACATATCCATGCACATATCGTATAAATATCGAGAATATCGACGATAATATCTGAAAATATTGACGTCGATAATTTCGCTCACACTTCAACAATATTTTGTTACAATATTGCTATAATATCGTTAAAATATCAAAAATATTGATGTAATGAAAAAAAAAAGGGAAAAAAACACAAAGGGGATTCAAGGTGTTTCCTCTTGTAAAATTAGTCATTCTTGGTTTGCTTTGTATTGTGGCATCCAAGTGGTAAGTTCTTTTTTCTTCTGAATATTGAGACATGGACAGGCAAGGAATGCTGGACTTTACATTTCTTACTTTGACAAAGTTCACACATGTATATCATTAATTTTTTTTTGGGACATATAAAAATGAGTCTCTTTAAACCAATTTCTTCTTAATTTGTATAAAAATGGGGGCCATTCTGCACTGTTTACCCTTGCTGCTTTCAAAGTAAGGTCCTAAGAGGGAAGAATGTCATTTCTAGGATTAACACAAACACTTTTTGCAAGTATAAAATTTTTACATGGGAATGAATCTTTGACCTTCCCTTTTCAAGTTTCAACTTTTCAACTATTCACCATGTTTCAACTTACATCACTTACCCCACCATTCAACCACTCACCTAACTAATTAGTTATAGTTATATTTCTATACATATAGTTAGGTAGTCATATTTCTATATATACAAATAAAATCAAATGGTCCTCATGCCGTCCCTTATTTCTCAACATCTCTCCAAAACAAAACATAATGCTCATGTTTTTCTCAACATCTATCAACCTCAATTTCCCCGCAAGTTAAAAAAACAAAAACTGACTCATTCATTATTGTTATTTAATTTGCATGTTTATTATTATCTATTTAGGTTCTCTTATATAACCGTCACTATTATATTTTTTGGCCAAAAGATAATTACCTAATTTCTATGACAAATAAATATAGGTACGTTTAAGATGTCTAGTGGAGTTACTAAACGTGATCCATCTTTGGAACATGGAGACTCAATAGATGGAAACAAGCATGACTCAATTTGCAAATATTGTGGTCGGGTAATGAAGAATGGTGGAGTGACACGACTTAAGTACCATCTTAGTGGATTAGATCTAGGAAATAATGTCCAATGATGCGATAGTGTTCCCCCAGAAGTGAAAGCATGCATCACCACATTGTTAAAAAATAAACAACACCGGAAGGAAAAGAAAACACATGGAATGGAAAATATTCGAGCTGGACTACGAGGAGAAGTCATTGGCCAAGCGGTTGACAGTGATGATGATGACGATAAGGATGAATGTAATGATGACATGGGACCTGAAGAGCGACACAATTTCAAACAAGAATTATGTGCCTCCAAACAGTCAGCATGGGAAAGAGAACACCTCCACAAACTTCCTAATAGAGCACAAGTTTTCGGGACAAATGGTGGTGCACAGATGAGACGGGGAGCAAGTGTTAGAGAATCACAACCAACATCACTAATGGCCCCAAGTTTATATAAGTCATCCAAAGCACAACAAAAGAGTGTTTGGAGTTATTTCGCTGGAGGTAATGTGAATGAGGGAATGGGGCGTCTAATTACCAAGTTTTTTATCTATGAAAATGTCCCTGCTGAGAAGGGATCATCACATCATTTCAAAAATATGGTATTGGGATGTCAACAAACCAGTGTTGGAGTACAACCTCCCACTCCCTATGAGGTAAGAAACAAATATTTGGAATGGAGTATAAAGACATTAGCGAGTATGTCAACAAATTGAGGTCAAAGTAGGAAACTAATGGTCGCACAATCATGTGTGACGAATGGATTGGCCCAACCAGATTGTCTGTCATAAACTTCATGGTATACTCCAAGGGAAAGACAATTTTTTTGAAGTTTGTTGATACTTCAGACCATATAAAGAACTACAAGTATATTTACAAACTATTGAGGGATGTGATCATGGAGGTGGGAGAGCATAATGTTGTCCAAGTCGTGACCGACAACGATTCTGCATTTGTCAAAGCCAGAAAAAAGTTAATGAAGCATCATAATGTATTTTGGACATCATGTGCAGCACATTGTATTGATCTCATGTTTGAGGCAATGGGGAAGAGAGAGAATATTGCTAATATCATAAAAAGAGCTAGAACGATCACAAATTATATTTACAATCACGATTGGTTGTTGGCAAAGATGTGTGAATTTTGCAAAGGAGAAATTATTTGTCCAGCTACCACTCGATTCGCCACCAACTATATCGCATTAGATAGCCTACTTAAGAAGAAATCAGGGTTGAAGTAACTATTCACTAGCGACGATTGGGCCAACCACAATTTCAGCCACTCAAATGCAAGTCGTACGGTGGAAAGTATAGTACTTGATCATTCTTTTTGAACTCAATCAGAACATGTGTGCCAAATGTTTGAACCTCTTTACAAAGTTTTACGGATCGTTGACACAGAAGTGTATCCTACTATGGGGGCAATATATGAGTTAATGCGTGTAGTGAAGGAGGAATTGGAAAGAAAACATGGTGCAAGGTGGGTCATAAAGATAATTGATGACCGATGGTATAAAACATTATACCACGATTTGCATACAGCAGGTATAAATTATGTCATAATTTGCAATTCATTTCTTTAGTTGCATAAGTATTATTTCTCATATTAGAGTATATGTTTCTTTCGACCATCACATTATTTGAATCTTCGATACCAATACAGACCCGGTGTTGGAGACGATGGTACCCTTATACGTGTTGTACACAAAGTATATTCTAAATTAGACCCTGCATCACCAGTAGTTGGCCAATTTGGAAATGAGGTACACAATTACTGAAATTATAATAATTACATTGTTGGATTAAACTAACACGATTTATTGAATTCAGCTAACATAGTTTAAAGATGCAAGAAGAACTTTTGGAGAACCAACATCAGTTGCTGCTCGAACAAAAATGTCTCCTAGTGAGTGTAAACATATTTCACAATTAGTTTATAATAGAATTTGTTGGAGTTATTAGACTTATCAACATTATTTTTCATTTTAGCTTAATGGTGGATCATGTATGAGACTAATGCACCAATTGTGAGAACGTTAGCAATCAAAGTATTATCACAAACAGCTTCCTCATCTGTTTGTGAAAGACATTAGAGTACATTTGCACTCATTCACACAAAGCAAAGAAATAGGTTGGCTCATAGTAGGTTAGAAAAATTAGTTTATTGCTACTACAACATGAAGCTTCAAATTCGAGATAAAAAAGTAGAAATAGATCATGTCGACCGTGGTGACCCACTAGATGTGTTTGATATTGCTACTGAAGATGATGATACATAGGGTAACCAACTTTATCAATGGATAAGACCTCTTCATTTAGATGATGATGAAGGCAACCCAGCTCTAAGAGTTGGTGAAGAAGCACGTAATGAAGGGATAAATGTAAAAAGACTATTAGATGAGGAGGTGAGATCTAGCAGCGCTAACTTTTTTAAGAACTTTTGCGCCCAAGACCAAGAAACAGAGGAATTCCTCCTTCTTCCAATCCTACACAACCACAAGATCCTGCTGATACTAATGATAGCTCTAGTACAAGATCAGGAGACTCGCTTACCACTATAGGTGGGAATGATGAAGGATATAGTGGAGCTGGAGGTAGTGGTGGATATGGAAACTATGTTGGACCACCTCCTGGATTTATGAGCCCCTTCACTGGTGAGGCAAACTTCACGCATGCAACACAAGATGAGGACCATGGGAGTAGGCGGGCAAGACCAAGAATTGGTGCCATAGGGAAGGACTATACTTGTAGAGAAAGAGGCAAGACGATTTTGTCAAGTCAATAAGATGATTCGTTATCTATAACTTCGGACTTAGTTGGAATGGGAAGTAGTAACTATGATTATACTCATAACCAACCATTTCTCTACCCTTCATATCTCATTCCTTTTGGGAAGGAATCGAGCAGCTCATGGAAAGAATCTGAGACTCAATCTTCAAATGATTTTGCTCATGGACAACGTCAACCAATCTCGGATCCATATGGGTGGCATGTTAACAATTACATGCAAAACTATTTTGGGGATTTATCATTTGATGACTACTCTTCACAATACACTTACTCTACACATAGAGATGATGAAGATAGTGAAAAATTTGAACCTCATAGGAACTCTATGTGGTACTAAGTCACTTATGTATCTTACCATGCAATGTATAAAATGTAAAATATTGTAGTAAATCATTATATATAAATGATTGTGGTGTGTTTAATCTTCTTTCATTAATTACTACATATTTTCTACACTCACAGTGTTTGTCAGCTCGCTATATAATCAACTTAAATGAGTTAAATCCATCATGCAATGCATTTCCTTCCAATTTTTTGTGATAAACTAATAGATATTTGACTAAATAAGCATCCTCCAAAGTTTCAATACAAATTTCCAAGTTTTTCTTACAATTTTCGTGGTTTTTATTCAATTTTTATTAATATCGATAATATCTCGATATTTCCATCGAATTTCTGTGTTTTTGGACTACCGATATTTCCGATATCACCGATATTTTAGACCTTGGTTATGACCATAATGTAGCTTCAACTCAGGCATCAATTTCTCCACGGATGTCCTTGACTCGCCAGCATGTTAATTTGCCCATCCATGCCTCGCACCTCACTTGCCACCTCCGGCACGATACTCACTAATGCATTTGTCCATCCCTATTTCCTCACTAATCGGTCTAAATACAAAGTCTCGGATCAAGTCAATTTGGTCAAGGAGTTGACCAACCAATTTGTTTTGGTCCTCAAACCTTTTGGTTAACGTGTCAACCTTGCGATTGAGATCTACGTGATTCTTTGGATCAGTAGGAGCAGCTGGGGTAACATCGAGATGCGTGTGAGCTAAGGGCTCTAAGGAAGCATGAACGGGTACCATTGTTGTGGTACGTGGAGGTATAGGAAGGTGTGGCCTCACCTGCCTTAGGATCAGCTCGGTTATGATGATAACACTGGGATAGCCGAGGAAGGTGGATGAGTCATGGGTCGTTGTAGTCTTGCCGTGGGCAACAACATCGCCAAGGGCCACGAGACTGTCATGGGTAGTATAGTAGCCAAAAGTGGCGGCGTCGTGAAAGACGGAACTAACGTGAGAGAGAATTATGGCATTGGCCATGGGGCCGGAATGTGGATTCTTGGAGCTGGTAGTGGGACGATGAGGTGGACCAGTGGTTTTAGTCGTGGGGTAGCGATGTGGATTGGTGGTTTCAATAGTGGGGTCGTGAGGATGGTGGCTCGAACCCGTACAATGTGAATGGCTAGGCTTCGTACCACGTGGATGACTCGAACTTGTAGTGGAGTTGTTGGTCGCGACAACCTTGCTCCTTGTGACAACACCTCATACCATGGAGATTTGAAGGTTTCAGATGAAACCTGTTGACGGAAAGGAAACAGATTTTCCTTGATTTAGATTTGAGAGCTTCGCTTTGAGTATAACTCGAATCTCTCAATGAAAGCACCACTTTGTTTGTGCAAATGTTCTCCGCAGGAATATTCGGAGAAGATCCTTGCATCTCTTAAATGAATTCCTCCAAGCACCTTGCAGAACAAATGAGGTCAATCGGAGAACATCGATGTGGTGTTGGCCAAGAGTCCTCTGATGCCTAAGTCAGAATATGGTCTCAAGGAGATATAAATATTTTTTAAAGGAAATGGGTGTTTTCTCTTTGGAAAGAGAGTGGGCGGTGAGAGAGAGAGAGAGAGAGAGAGAGAGAGAGTGTGTGTGTGTGTGTGTGTGTGGCATGTAACCTAGGGTTTTTTGTTTAGGGTTTTGAAGAAGTTACCTCCATGTGTTTTCTCTTTTGATCTTGTGGTCATCTTTGGTATGATTTATGGGAGAATAATTCTTTTTAAGGGAATTATTCTTTTCCATAAATAAGGTGATTGGGTAAATCAAGAAGATTTAATGGAAATCGAATCCTTGATTTATGGAGATATCCCTAGATTAAATCTTGATAATTGGCCAATTAAATGGGAATGTAATTGACACAATTATTTGACTTAAGGGATATTCCAATATCCATGTGGCGTCTCCTGAATGGTTGCGAAAATCCATGTTCCCATAATGATGGAGTGCAAAAAATAAACATGTTTAATCAAAATCTCAATGATGATTGTGATAACAATGACATGATGACAATAACAATGGGGGTGATGGTTCGTTGTTTATTTCTTAAAATTTCATTATATAAGTAGAAAGTTTGGTCCAAAATTTCATTTTCAAGTCATCTCATTTCTTTTAAAATGATTTTTTTTTAATCAAAGAAAAACTTTATTAGATAAACTTCAACAGTATAATCAAAGATATCGACATGACATCTAAAGCATCAATCCCAAGAGGGCAACAAACTAACATGCTAAAAACAAACTAAAGTGGACAAAAGCCGTACTAAAACCACTAGCTCATATTACTTCAATTAAGCATAATTCCAAACAAAGCCCACAAACCCAACATAGTTGAAACCCCAAAGCAACTTAGGAGCTTAAATGAACCCCACCACTACCACCTCCTGAAAAAGCATTATTGCAACCAAACCTACCACCGCATAAAATCTTGAAGCAAAAACAAAATCTGTAGCATATCTAGGGAAAACATGGTTTCTAACGATCTACCTGTATATAAGAGTGAAAACATAAACCAAAACAACAATCGTACCAAAGAACAATTGGGTGATTTGCAACAAACTCTGTAAAAAATTATGTATAATGAAATTTATAGAACATGAGTAGTGTTAGAGAGCAGATTTTGGGAGAATGATATGACCAAAAGAGGTGATGAGGAACTTCAATTTGAGCATGGGTCAGAAGAAATCACCACAAGGGGCTTCTTATTCAAAACGCCCCAATGAACTTATTCACTAACCCAAAAGAAAAAGACAATAAAGGAGGAGAAGGAAGAGGAGTAGTGACGTTTCTTACTCCTCCCCCTCTATGGAGTTTTTCTTTAGGACCTACAGAGGGAGAGAGCATCTAGAGTTCTAGGATTAATTTCTTTTAAAATCATTTTAAAGTCATTTCATGATTTCGTAAATCTCATTTGAGTTTCAAAAGTAAATACTTTAATGACAAGGGATTTACCAACTAGCTTTTACAATTGGGCATTAAAAAAGAAGAAGAAGATTTTAGATTATATCTTAATATCTTTTCTCAATCATGAGAAATTATAGTATGGTATTAAGGTACGTCGCGTGATATAATTTGTGTACGTGTTATAATATTAGTGGACGACATGATTAATATTTCTCATATTAGAATAATATAAATAAATATTCACTTATATTATAATACATGTTCAAATTATATCATATGGTCTTACTCCCTCATCTAATGCCCCCAACCATGTAATAGAAATTTTTGGATGGAAATGTAATTACAATGTAGTAATGTTGTTTTATTTATTTATTTTTTTGTGAAAGAGGAATTCATTGATAACTTGTATCATCTTATACAATTGGCTTCAGCCAGAGGGAAACCTCTTCAATCCAAGTTGCAATAGAATTACAATTAGGCCCCATTTGGTTCATGGAATGAGTTTGAGAGGAAATCATTTCCCATGTCATTTCCCAAGGAATGAGAATGGAAGATTCATTTCCTACGTTTGGTAATGCTGGGAAAGTAACCGGGAAATATCACTTTATTTCCTTTCCCATGTTTGTTTTGAGTAGGAATGGAAAACAAAGTTTGTATAAATTTTCAATTGTACCCATATTAAATCAAATAAAAAAAGAATGCATTTAATGATATATTGTAATTCTAAATTGTTAATAAGGATAAAATGGTCATAAAAAATATGTATTTAATGTTAGCTTATTTTCCCAAACTTTCCCATGAGGAGAGAAAACAAAACCCAAGTTAGGACAATGACTTCACTTTCCCTCATACTTTCTCATGAGCTAGACAATGATTTCCCATACCTAAACTTACCAAACATAGGAAAGCAATTGATTTTCCATTCCCAAGTCTCCTTTCCCATGAACCAAATGGAGCCATAAGTGCATGCCTTGCTAGAAGATGAGCTACTTGATTGAACCCCCTTGGACTGAAAGAAACAGTAACATCATCAAATTGTTGCAAACTGTTCTTAATATTATCAATGAGATGCCCAACTGATGCCCAAGACTCTTCCTCACCATTCTTTAAGTCATTTTACCACTGCTTGTGAAGCAGACCCAACCAGTATAGAAGAAAAGCTAGCATCCCGAGCAAACTTCACCCCGAATTGAAGTACCATGATTTCTGCATGTTTAGGGGAGGTAAGTTTTTTGGTCAATTAAAAATATTTATTTTTTTTGGTTTTTTTTTTTTTTTTTTTTTTGGTTTTATTCAAACAAAAAAAAAAATAAATTATTTCTTGAAAGAAAAAAAAAAAAAAACGACCAATAGAAAAACTTTGACTAAACATCAGAACTCAATTTGACAAATGCTGGATAATCCCGGCGTAGTGTAGATTACAAAAGCGTTCAACCGAAGCAAGCAATGGTCTTCAGAGAGTAATTCGTTCCTAGATTTCCCCCTTTTTGCTGCCACACAGACGCACGCTCCCTCTCGCTCTCTCTCTCTAACTGACGCGATGGCTGCTGCGATGAAGATTGTATTCGGACTGCTAACGTTTGTCACAGTCGGAATGATTATAGGTAAAACCAAATCATCAAAGAAATTTCTGCTATCTTGATCACATACATACATGTACATGTATATACATCACATTATATTGATTTGTGTATATGTTGATTCTACGATTATATCTCGTTTCTATTTAACCAGAAAACTGTAGGAGTCGAAGAGGAAGTTTGAATCTTGGTCCAATGTTCTTTTTATCCTTGATTTTCCTTTGGTTTCTCGAAAACCAAACAGAAAGCTCCTATCTGGATTTGATCCGGGTATTGGATATTAGGTTCGGAATCAAACTTATGTAATGCAGATTCATAACTTTAGGAATGACCAACACCGCTAATAGGTTCATTGGACTTGGATTCTTAGGGCATATCATAAGGGCTCTTGGTAGGAAGAATTAAAAAATTTATAGACAGCACTTTCAGTGCAGTATTTTGGAGTGAAAAATTGTATATCTCTGGTCGAGATTTGTTGAATTACTCTAGCTCCGAAGTTTGTTGAGATGTGATGAAATTTCTGGCTATGCGGATTGGTAAGTATGGAAAAGAAAAAATTAGAAACATTGAAGTTATGCACAGCGTTGTAAGCTCTCAGCTAAAATCTTTGCAGATATATGTGTATCCCAAGATGTGCTACCTTTAGAAACCCCTGCGATTGGACTGGAGGGATCAACATGATGAAAGAAATGGAAGAACTTAAAAAATGAAACCTGTGATATCCTCCTTTTAAACAAGAATTTGAAATAACAGAGAGACATGTGGGCCAATGGCACTACACCCTACCCTAGTACTAGGGATCACACAGAGCACAGAGAAGGTGTAGGCATGGGGCTGCGGTCTGGGGAATTTCCGGCCATTTCAATATCAACTGTCTTCCTTGCCTCTTTTGAAAACCTGTAGACTCCTGGATCAACCTGGAGACCTTAAGAGAGGATTATTATCTAAAAACAAACCCCACTACTATTACTGCTTACGCTTTACTCTCATATAATACATGCAAAGAAAGAATTCTTTGTTCTTGGGTATAATGTATGACTATTTTTAGCTATCCTCCTCTTTTTTTCCATGTTAAATGGTTGGTGGTTTCTAACAAGCTGTTAGTTTGACATTACGTTTGAATGATTTTAAATTACTTTATTTTCAATAAGTGAGCATCTTCTGATTGTTTTTTTTTAATCGCAGGTGCTTTGTTTCAATTGGCATTTATACGAAGATTGGAAGAGTCATATGGTATCTTGAAATTGATTAAATTTCATACACAAATATATTATCTTGTAATTTCCCTCATACTTGCACGTTCAGCTCATGGTTGGGACTTTGTTAGACTTTTTTCTTTTTTGACATATCTTTCTTTCTATACTAAGTAGAAGAGCTCTTGACAGATGCATATGGTGAAGTTCAGACTCATATATGTTAGATTTTTCTGGTTCTCTTTTTCCTCTTTGCAAACCTTAACATGGATCAGACTTTTTAGTCAGATTGAAACAGTCTTTTTGGCAGAACAATGGGCATCCTTTTCATCTATTTATATCATTTTTCTTTGTAAAACAGAATTTTCAAACTGGGCCAGGCATTTTTAAGAGCTGATCCATTGGATTGTGGACTAGTGATGCAACTCTTAACACAGTTAAGCCATTTAATTTGGATAGAGTTTCATAAAAATAATACAATTCAAGGAGATTCAGGATAATTAAGATTCAAGTATGTACAAATTTTATGGTATTCCTTGGCATCAAACTAAATCATTTAGAGATATATCCACTGCATGCTTTTGAGTGAAATTATGTTATCTTATTCACCTAGCAATAGTTGAAAATAATTGGCCATTAAGATTCTAGAGTCATAGAAGCTATCATATGTGAGCCTGCAAGAGTATAAAACCTGGTTTGTGTGTAACATGGCGTTGAACCTTGATTGAGGGAAATGAATAATGTCTGAAGAAAATTCGTTTATCTTTTGTTAATGTATTTGAAAAAAGATCTGATTTGGATCTTCTTTTAATTCTACTAATTTGAATGTTCTTCTGGCATGCTTTTATTCTGTTTGTAAATGTCCCTTTTCCACCTTTGCTATGCTACACATCTTTGGAAGTATAATTTTCTTCATTGATTGAATATTCTGTGGGGGTTTTCCTTCTTTGTTTGGTCTATTTTGACAGAAATTGAGCTGTTACATTTAGTTGAGTAAATGTACAATCTTCCATTTTTTTAGGACTTTTTATTGTTGATTGAATCATTGAGTCTAAGACATTTTCTTTGCAATGCTTTATTCTTGTAAGGTGATATCATATTTCTTTTTATTGTTATGTTGTTTGATGATTTTATATCATGCTTATTTGTTGTTATTCTATCACATGATTTATCTATTTTAAAATTGGTCCTTTTTAGGTTCCGAGTTTCCATCTTCTAGAAGAGTGCGTAGAAGTCTAAATGATGGCTATCTCGAGTTGCCCGGAGGTTGGTATGGTTCTTATCAAGTTTTGTTTGGTAGATAGATATACCACCACATTTGTTCCTTATTTGAGTTTTGAATTAGAAAATAATAATTTTAGTCAATCTTTTATTTTCATAATTTATATTATGATTCAGCTGCATTTAAGTAGGGTATCATTACGATATGGCATTCAGCACCAAAGGAAAGGTTGTTGAGATAACTCTTTGTGTGGTTGAATATGACCTCTTGAATTTCTTGTGGATTCTTTTTCTTCACTGTATATTCTTCTTTCTTTACAGTTTTGAGATCTTGTATACTTGGACAATGCACCCCTGACCTTTCTAAATAAAGCTGTTATTATTAAAAAAAAAAAAAAAAAAAAAAAAAAAAAAAAAAAAAAAAATTATGGTTTAGGACTTGATATTTACATTGTCTTAAAAATGTTACACTTTGTTTTATTGCAGTTATATTTTTTCTGTAGACACAACTTTATAATGCCAAGGAAAAAACCTAATGACACAATATCATGGAGTTTATGGGATTGATATTAGGGTTGTTAGGCTCTGTAACAAGGACATGGGGAGGCTAAGGAGATTTTTGTAGTTTTTTTAATGAGAATTTATTCTTAGGTTTTGAATTTTATTAGTAAAACTAAAAATGAAAACCAGAAAGACATATTGGGCAATTAAAAAATAATGAGTGTAACTGAGGTTTTTTTTTCTTTTTTTTTTTTTTTTTTTTTTTTTTTTTTTTTTCCATATATTTTCAATTTTATTCACAAATAAGGAAGGAAGACGAAGGACCAAGGTGTCCTATACAATTACAATCCATGTCCAAGGCTTTCCTAAAACGTGAAAACAAATTAAAAAGAAGGTTCCCTGTGACCGAAAAGACATGGTGTGCACAGTGAAGCACCTAAAGTACTCGAATTAGAACTCTTTTAAAATTGAAAAGAAAAAAGGTATCCCAATTGGAACTTCCACCTTCTTCAAAATGTGAAGATTCTGAATTGGGAGAGGATCAAACTGAAGTCCATGGAAAGACATTTCCCTGGGTTGGATCAGCGTTTTAAAAACACTTGTTCATAAAATGAATATACTTTTCTTCTTGTGCCCTTCATCACAAAGTTTTGCGTATGTATGTATGAAGAGGAGCTTGAAGCTTGAATTCAGGAGTTAGTATTTGACATTGTTTTGACTCAATTGTTTATGGTAGGTGTTCCATTTATTAAATTTATGCATGATGTCTTCTTTTCTGTTCTTGAAATTTTAATTAGAGTTATCGCATGCACAATAGAATACAGTGATTTACAAGTAATGAATAAAACGTTTTTAAATGTCTCTGAGTTTCTAGTATTCCAGTTGTTCCTCAGATTAGAAGAAGCTGGAGAAAAGATCATTATGGTGTTGCAAACATTTTCCCTTATCTAATTTGCTTTTCTTCTGTTTTGAATTCTCAGGTTCTCATTGGAACAATGACAAAGAAGCAAAAATTTTACGGCTTGGATATGTATGCTTGCATATTTAGCTTTATTTTTCGTTTCAAGTCTTTAAGATGATCCCATGCCTGTTGGAAAAAGTATCATGCACCATTTGACATAAAGGACAGTGAAAATTGGATGTTTTTCTAGAGAATGAAAAATTATTAATTAGAGACCTGAAATCCATGATGATTTAAATTTCTGGGATGTTTTGAAGTATGATTGTAATATCTCTTGAGTTTCCAATAAAAGAAACAAAATAAGAAAAGAACCTACACATAAGTCATCTTATTCTAGTAACAGGGAAGATAAAATACATAAGTTTCCCTTGATATAGCACAATACAAAAGAATATATATACTCCAGACTGTATTATTAGCCTTTGGTTGGTAAATAAAATGAAAAAGATAGATATTGATTTTTTTTTTTTTTTTTTTTTTTTTTTTGGAGAAAAGAAGGGTTTCATAAAAAAAACATATAGTAGTTCTGTTTTAAAAGATCAATGGCAGGCTTGTGGTTATTCTGTGTTCTTATGCTTGGTACTTTTTCTTTTTTAATGTTTCTGCTCGAGGCTACAACTGGGTGAGTTTGATAGAAAGTATAGAAAGGGCTTTTATTTTATTATTGGATGTGACTTCCAGAAAACCGTGACTCTCAGAAAACCGTGACTCTCTCTCTCTCTCTCTCTCTCTCTCTCTCTCTGTGCATACAAACATGAAGATGTTCTAATTTATCTCTTTGTAATTTTTAAAACTCATAATTTGCCCTTTCTATGCTTTCCACAAGAATTACCTATTTCCACTTTTAGAACACCAGCTTATATCTTTACATCCCTTTTGGTTGAGAAAAGTGACGATGGAGATGTTTTTATGGTTGTTCAGTGCTTAAGTTGAATTTGATTTTTCTTTCTTTATCCTGTCAATGTAGGTCCAACCTGAAGTAATTAGCTGGTCCCCTCGAATAATTGTACTTCATAACTTCTTGAGCATGGAGGTATGTTTATGTCATATAATAGCATCACCCTCATCTTGTTGGCTTATTTTTGCTTAACTCTTACAGTATTCTTTACGAGCTTGAACTAATTTTCTGTTTAAAATATGATACTACTGATAATATAAAGTGCCAAAAAATAAATCCCAAACACTGTCACGTACTGAACTTACCAAGCTGAAAAATGGTTGGTATATTGGAAAATTGAAGCATGGAATTCAAAATAAATTATTTGGAATAATAAGTACAAACCCATAACATCTATGTCTGTCTGAATGTATTCAGAACAACCTGCTTATGTGGAAGTATGACTGTGAATTCGTGATTAGATTAGTGGGTTAGCCTTTACACTTGTGAAATGACATTTGATGTAGGATACTTTTACAGCATGCTTGACTTTAGAGGTTACTCTAATAATTTAATAGCAAAAGGGATTGAAGAAATTAAATTAATCTTTCAAAATAAAATATTCAGCATGAAATTGTAAATTAAGCTTACGAGGGATTTATAATGAGAAATGAGAAACGGGTCGTTTTCACTAACTTAAAATTTACTAGCTGAGTGCAAGGATTAATATATCGATTATTGGGCCTTCAATTTATGGATATTTCTAGGGATATATCGATGTCGTTTTAGGTATCTGGGAAAATCAACAAAAAAGACAGATATTGGCTTAAAAACACGGAATTTGAAGCGAAACTTTCATAGATATTAAGCACATTATCAATGATGTATTGACAAATAAAATTCAAAATTTGCTAAGTATAAGATATGCATATGATGAAATTATGTGTCTATAATGCGTGATGAAAATCTTGAAAGTAAATACAATTAGACTTAACACAACAATGACAACATTATTCAAACATAACCCAACCCAACCCATATACATTACCCAACATTATATTACAAGCGTGCGACTTAATGATATAAATTATAATGAGAGTAAAGCCAAACCGCGCCCACCACCACCACTACACCGCCGGCTCGCTAAACTGAGCATCACTAACCCAGGGGAAGTAAAAAAAAGAGGAGAAGGGGGGGAGAGGAAGGGGGAGAAGTGCAGGGGGGGGTGAAACAGGGCGGGAGAAGGTGAGGGAAGAAAAAAAAGGGACCTAAAACTTATAATAAAATGGTCGGACATTTTCGTGATTGGGTGCAGGGTTAACTAAAGCGGCGATAGTGTCGAGGTGGGGATAAATACTGTTCTGATATTTGAGTAGCTCGATGCCGACACACATTCGGTACCTTTGGTCGCCCAATATTGAACAATGCTAATATTGATTTTGTGCTCCATAATCCTTGCTTTTTACAATACATATAACGTTGATTTCAACTGGGATGACACACGAGGGGCGCAAGGAACAAAGGGGCGTGCCTAGGGACATAAGTGCTTCTATCTAGAAAGCAAACAAACCGTAAGTGATTTGGGACCAGAAAAAATGCAACACTAGTGAGGAAACTAAGTCCAAATAGTACCGAGGACAAGCGTAGTATGCCCAAACGTGAGCCGAATGTCGGCGAGCTGATGTCAGATTGTCAGACAAGAAAATCATTAGAGGTTGATGAGAATTTAATTTGGGACTTAAGATGCCGATCTTCTCGAGCAGTGTAGCGAGCGTCATTGTGACTCTTCGAGGGTGGCTAGGGAAAAAACAGGAGAAACAAAACAATGGGTGGTTACCACCCAGTCAAAATAACAAAATGCGTAGAACAATAGGGATCACATTTCGGACACATACCGAACATCAAGTAGGCTTGCCCATGGCATGGAGTCTGATAGAAATTGCAATGGCAACGAATGTTGGTTGGAACTGTAATAATACATTAAGCTTATATCAAATACTAGAATGGGAGGTCCAAATATAAGCGTGTCAGCATCATGTCAATGCAGGATTGATGCAGCAGGGTGAATTCAAAGAACCAGCCCGGAATATGCGACGTAGGTTCTTGAAAAAACTGGTGTCTACAAAAGAGGGCAAAGGGCAAACACTAGAAAAAAGAAGTGTACAGGATTATATAGGTGGTCCCATTATTCAGAAATGTGACTAGCATTAGAGGCTAGGCCGATCACCCCAATCAGCGGGAATGGCACTCAACAGTCACGTGCATACCACCTTAGTGGACCCCCAAAACAGCGAAAGAGGTACTGGGTTTACCTGGTTCCACGGAGGGGGCATCGTACTTGATCTTACAACTTCAAGTATGCATGTCAATCAACGTCGCTTGTGATGTAATCTTTCTAACGACAATGGTTTATGGCAATGCGGTGCTACTCTAGGGAAGAAAATGGCTAGTTGATATGTGATACTTAGGAATAAAAATTTGGCCAAGTCTTAAAACAAAAAAGAAACGGGACTAACACGGGGATCGGACGGAACCAAAGCGGAGGCCAAAACGAACGGTGCATTCTTTGGGGGATGGAATCTACCACCGAGTCATCCCTTTCCACCAACGTTTTGGTAAGAAAGTGATTAGTCCTCAAAATAAACACCCAAGTGATTTGAACGCCATCCAGGAAGGAAG